GACATTACCTACAAAACTGATAAAAAAAGTTTAAAGGAATTATTAGATTAGACCTTATAAATCCATGAACAACAATAATGGTTACCTAAATTCTTAGGTTATGATTCCATTATTCAGTACAACCCTAGCAAAGAAAATATTCTAGCATATTCTCTTTCACAAAAGTTATATTTGGCCTTTTTTGAACCTATTGAATTTACACAACAAGGTGGTAAATGGCTCAAGCTCTATCAAGACAGTTTGTTGGATAAATTTCAGTAAAAAACATATAGTGATCTTGAGGGATTATTGTTGTTTAAAAACATAATTGTGCTTCCTAAAGTTGTACCACTATTACAATAAACAATGTCGGAGTTTCAGTGTTCTGAAATTTGTGGCCATGCTAGGGTTCGAAGGACTGTCACAAGGATAACTACACAATTATATTGGCCTAACATAAGGAAGGACATTAGAAAATTTGTGAATGAGAACCTTGTTTATCAACAAACTAAAATTGATAATATAGTTCCTGTTGGACTATTACAACCATTGCCCATTCCTTTTCAAATTTGGGAAGAAATATCAATGGATTTTATTACTCATTTGTCTAAGTCATAGGGCTTTACCACTATTTTTGTCATAATTGACAAACTCTCAAAGTTTTCCCACTTTATTCTTATGAAATCAGATTTCAATAGCAGATTTGTTGCTGAGACATTTATTTTCAACATTGCCAAGATCCATGGGTTTCCCAAATCTATTGTTTGTGACGGAAATAAAGTATTTATGGGTGCCTTTTGGAAACATGTGTTCAAGGCTCAAGGGACTATTTTAGTTGATTATCATCCATAATCGGATGGACAAACGGATAACCTCAATAAAACCATTGAGATGTATTTAAGGTGTTTTATCTATGATAACCCTAGGGTTGGGTCTCTATGTTACAATGGGCTTAATTCTTGTACAATAGTTTCTTTCATCATAGTTTAGGGATGACTTCTTTTTAAGAGATTTTTGGTTGCCCTCCTTATTTGTTGTCTAATATGAACCTCAAACATCATATCATCTATCTTTACAAGAAACATTGAAAGCCATGGATCAATTGCTTACTTAGCTCATACATGTGTTTCAGGCTCTAGGGACTATTTTAGTTGATTATCATCCACAATCGGATGGACAAACAGAAAATCTCAATAAAACCATTGAGATGTACTTGGGGTGTTTTACCTATGATAATCCTAAAAGTTAGGTCTCTATGTTACCATGGGTTCAATTCTGGTACAATGCTTTCTTTCATCACAGTTTAGGGATGACTCCTTTTCAAGTGATTTTTGGTTGCCCTCCCTATTTGTTGTCTGATATGAACCTCAAACGTTAGATCATCTATCTTTACAAGATGAAAGCTATGGATCAATTGCTTACTTATCCCAGACATGTGTTCAAGGCTCAAGGGACTATTTTAGCTTATTATCATCCACAATCAGATGGACAAACGAAGAACCTCAATGAAACCATTGATATGTACTCAAGGTGTTCAAGTGGTTTTTGGTTGCTCTCCCTATTTGTTGTCTGATATGAACCTGAAACATCAGATCCTCTATATTTATAAGAAACCCTTGAAAGCTAAGGATCATTTGCTTACTCAACTTAGACAACATTTGTTAAAATCTCAAAATTATATGAAATAACAAGCTGATAGGAGAAGGCGTGAGGTACAATTGCAAGTTGGTGGTTTGGCATTGGTTAAATTGCAACCATATAGGCAACAACATTCAATAACTTTGAGAAAACACATTAAAGTTAGGTTACATTTCTTTGGACCCTTTGAAGTTATCCATAAATCAGTCCAATAACATACAAACTCCAACTTATTGATTTAACACAAACACATCCCGTGTTTCGTATTTCACTACTCAAGAAATTTCATGGAAATAATTCTTAGCAACATTTGCCTCTACCATTCACTTCCACTGAGTTTGGACCTATAATGCAACTCGTAATAGTGTTAGCGACTCGTATGCTATAGCAGAAGCATGGTTTAATGCCTCAAATATTAGTTTAATGGGTTGGCACAACCCCTTCAGAGGCTACTTGGGAGCAATTGTCTGATATACAAAGTTCTTATCCTCGTTTCAACCTTGCGGACAAGGTTGTTGTTGATAAGGAGGAATATGAAAAACTCAGTACCTATTTTCCTCTAAAAATTCTTTGACTTATGTTTCACAATTCTCTTATCCTCTACACTATTCTGATATCTCTTCCCAATCTTATATTCTCAGGATCCAAGGAGGTTGCGGTTATGGAAATATACATGGAAGTGGTATCAGAGTCAATAATTTGCGTGGTGACGGCAGTTTAAGAGTGGTCTTTGTATCTAAAGTTTTCCTGACAGTGGGTCACATAAGCGTATCTCGTTATGATGATAGAGATACATGAAATGGTCATTAGTGAGCTCGAGGTAGGGATGACAAAACGGGTCAACCCACCCTATTTTGGCCCGCCCCGCCTTTGACCCGTCAAAAGCGAGATGGGGTGGGCTAGCCTACTATAGTCATGGTAGGCTATAGGTCTTGGCTCGCCCGCCAAAGGGCGACCTGGCGGGCTGGCCCGTCATATTTCTTATTTTATTTTATTTTATTATTTTTAAATCAAATCTTTCAATAAATTTAATAATAAGATTATCATTGTTAACAATTCAAAAATATATATATATATATATATATATATATTTCAAGTTAATAATATAAATTGGTATATTATTTTAATAAATTATATTTTAAAATAATTAAATTTAGATAAAATTAAGATAACATTATTCTCAATTTCATTTTCATTGACGACATCATCAAGACCACAAGTAGGTTTACTAATTGAACCATCCATTTCCTGTTTATTTTTTTTTAAATCATAATTTTTTCTTACTTAGAGATTTCAACAAAAGTACAAATAGAAAAACATAATAAATGAGTCATGAGAGAGAAAAATATTAAGAGAAAAAAATGAAACCTTAAGAAAGTAACAAATATAAAAAAGAGTAAAAAAATATGAGATATATATGATTTTTACCTTATGAAGAAGAATTGGGCAAGAAGCAGATGATGAGTAAGAGGAGAGGAGAGAGAAAGGGGTTTGTACTTGAGAAAAGAAAATGTTTCTTGTAATGTGAGTTTAAGTAATTATAAAACTTTTTGAATTCTCTTTTATAAATCTTTATATTATATATTATCTTTCTGACTATTTGTATTGTATCATAATAAAAAAAATTATTAGTAAAGCGAACTGTGGGCTAGCCCACCCCCCCGCCCACGGGTTGGCGGGTCGGCCTGTCATGCCTGACCTGTTTTGTCATCCCTAGTTCGAGGGGATGTACCAATGTGATAGAACTCACACTTGAAGGGGAGATTGTTGAGAATCCAAATGTGAGTCTAAGTCTCACATTGAGGAAGAATGTGAAATTTTTTGCAATATATAAGGAAGAAAGACCTTATAGTGGTATAAGAGCTTTAAGGTTTTGAGTTAAAAGTGGTGTCAATTCCTTATATGGATTAAACTTATGTCTCATTGGTGTTGTCTCTCCCCAGTGAATACCCTTGAAAGACCCAATAGGAAATATAGGGGATTGTCAAGTTCTTTATAACCCGGCTCAATTCTAAACGATTTAGTTTTTATTTTAATAAAAGTGGATATGTTTCATTTCACGTTTTCTCTATTTTTCGTACTCCTCATCCCTTCTTAGTGCTTGTCGTTGCACTACGTTGGTCGTTGTTGTCGCTACACTCTGTGGGTCATCGTTGCTCTAGTCACATTATTCATCAATCGTTTTTCATTGTTGCATAATTTGTTGGTTGTTGTCATGTTGGTCGCTAGTAATGTATTATTCATCATTGAAGTTGACATTGGTCGCACATTAGCTCATCATTGAAGTCAGTGACGAATCTTGACCATTGATTTTGGGGGTGAAATAATATATTATTAATAAATAATAAATAAATATAAAAGGAAGAAAGAAGATGAAAGGGTCAAAAGATAAAATTTTAGATATATACTTAAATATATTAAATGATCATTAAGTTTGAGGAGAATAAAATCATAAATTAGATGAGAGTTATAAAACTAGGAGGGGCTGAGAGGATAAAATTATAAATATAGAAGTAAATATATTAAATATTCATTATGTTTAGAAGAGCCAAAATCATAAATTACATAGGAGTTACAAAACTTTGAGGGATCACGGCTCCCCTCAGCTCCCAAGAAGATCCGATTGAAGTTATCGTTGGTTGCGATGCTCGTAGACGGTGACTCGTTGGTCAACGCTAATCTGCTCCATGAACAAAGGTTGGATTTAGATTAAGGATTTTAGGGTTATTTTTCATATGGATTAGAGATTTTTTTAATTAATTTTTTATTTTTTTATTTTGGTTATTCGGCTGCATAGACATGTTGAATTACTTTTTTATTTTTTTATCTTGGATATAGAAATTGAAATTTAAAAATGTTTGAAACTGAATCAAATTATTGTGAAGACAATGTAGTTGTATCTTCACTTCCACTTAAAATATACCAGAAAATAGAACAGAGGTTGGGTGAAAATATAAAATGAATGTTTTAAATAATGGAAAAAATATGAAATGTAATAATTCCTCAAAGATATTATATAAATTTATTAATTTTAATAATGTAGAATTTATATTATCATGCTTATTTTTTTTTGTTAAATTAATATTTTTTTCTTATGAAATAGATTATAACCGGTCTACAAGTCATGTTTACGTACCTCTGAGTTTACCTAGATTCTCGAGTAAGTATATATATATATAAAACAGAAAATTTTCCTTCTTCCTCTCTTGAATATTCTAAACCAATTCAAAGTTGTTTTTCACCAAACCGTGGAATGGGTATATAAATAGTGCCATGAAGGTGATAGATACCAGAATTAAAGCATAGAAGTCTAGGACTAAGCAGCAACAATCATGGCAGGTTTAATCTCTTTGTTGGTGTTTTGTTTGGGTGTTTTCATCCAAATGACCCACTGCCATAGCACCACCACAACATGCTTGCCTCAGAACCATGTTGCACTGTTCATACTTGGAGATTCACTCTTTGATAATGGAAACAACAACTACATCAACACCACCACCGATTACCAAGCAAACTATGCTCCCTACGGAGAAACTTTCTTCAAATACCCCTCTGGCAGGTTTTCTGATGGACGCATGATACCAGATGTCGTTGGTATGCAGCTGCTATTGCATGTTCTGAATTGTGATTTTATGATGGTGTTTGTTGTACAAAAATAGTAACAGTGGATGTGTTGTATGTATTTCAGCTGAACTTGCCAAGTTGCCAATACTTCCACCATACCTGCATCCGGGTCGAGTAGAACATGTCTATGGAGTCAATTTTGCTTCAGGAGGTGCAGGTGCTCTGCGTGAAACTTCTCAAGGATTTGTAAGACTAACATCCTCATTATGTTATTGTACAAAGAAACATTTAATTTGAAGGAAGAAGGAAATTATAGTTCTTCATTATTATCATTATAATTGTTTTATTTACACAAATCATACCCAACAAAATATTTTATCCTTGAGTTGTATGCAGGTTGTAGACCTGAAAACTCAGGCCAGTTATTTAAAAAATGTAAAGAATTCATTTGTTCAGAGATTGGGACAGAAAACAGCAGAGGAAATTATGTCAAAATCTGTGTACTTCTTTAGCATTGGATCGAATGACTATGGTTCTCTTCTCCACCCAAACTCAAATCCTGTGATTCTTCCCGTTGATCATCAACCATTTGTAGATACTGTCATTGGAAACCTCACAGACGTCCTCAGAGTGAGAACAAACTTCAATTTTAATTCATTCTTCAGAAATTATTTTTTATATTCTCTTCAGTCTCTCCACCATCATGCTATACTTTTTGTTTAATAATAATTTTGATTCCTTTATTTCATACAATTTATGATTTTGGTTCAGCAAAAATGTGAATTTTGTAAAATATAAGGAATAAATTACTAGTAAATAAGCCTATATTTTTCATAATCCTAACCTTAATGTTGGAATGCTATAACTTCAGGAAATTTATAATCTTGGAGGAAGGAAATTTGGATTTGTTAACGTGGGTCCAATAGGATGTCTCCCTGCCATAAGGGTTTTGGTCAATAATGGAAGCACGTGCCTTGAAGAATTTTCAGCCATAGGAAGACTGCACAACATTGCACTTTCAAAAAGGCTTCAAGAGCTAGAGAAACAGCTCAAGGGATTTAAATACTCAATCAATGATTTTTATGGAGCATTATCTGAAGTGCTGAACTATCCTACAAAATATGGTATTCCCAATAACCATGTTCCATTAATTTTGATTTCTGAGCATATTGTAATCATTGTTTTCTCTGTCTTCATGGGAATTGAAGGTTTCAAAGAATCGAGTAAGTCATGTTGTGGAGGTGGACCATATAGAGGAGATGGTAGTTGTGGAGGGAACAAAGGGATCAAAGAATACGAGTTATGTGACAATCCCAATAAATATTTGTTCTTCGATTCTAATCATCTTACTGATAGAGCTAGCCAGCATTTCGCCCAGTTGGCATGGAATGGAAATCGCACTGTTGCAAGTCCTTACAATCTGAAACAACTCTTTGAATTTTGAAGTTTAAATGTGTATCTTAAGCAAGACAAAACATCATGATTTAGTTGTTTCCACATTCTGTTTTAGTTAACTATTTTAGTTGACTCTTTGTGCTTAGTATCCTATAATAATAAGGGGTTTGATCTTGCTAAATAAAACATGGTTTCATAACGATTTGAATTCATATACTGTTAAGGTTTTTCCATCAACTTATCTTTAGTTTTTAAGCCGAAGGTAGAATTTCCAATATCTGAAGTTATGTTTTGGATAAAATTGACTGTGAAGTTGCATGATCACTCGATTACAAAGTTGAAGGGTAACTTTGCTTTTCCTATTCTTGTTACATATTTGGCCCATCCAAAACCTGAACTATGAATCTAAAACTAAAATAAAAATTCAAAAAGAAACACATTGAGACACTGACCAACCTAAGGGTAGGGGTTGTGAAGGGTATAGATTCAAAAGAACGAACTCTAGCATTTGTAAACTTGGACCCAAAGCTATTGCAGTTGGACTGAAATTTCCTTGCCCCATTTGCTGTTTCCTTCTCAGTATCTCCAGTTTCAAAATAACAATTCAAAAAAATATATGAAGAAATTGAATGTTTCTTTTAATGAGTTTTTTCTTTTAGGAAGAATGATAATGTAAGGGGTTTAGGTGATTTCACTCCACTTTAATCAATGTTTCAGAAAGGGCCAAAAAATCTTTTTCCTTTTTCTGCCATGATAATGATCATCTTGCAAGATAAACTAATGATGGTGTCAAGGTGATATAACTCTTCTCCAAAACTTGTGGTTAAAAGGAACTGAGTTCTTATCAATTCTTGTGCCTTAGTGCTTGAGCCTGAAGATTTTGGTTCTCCTCCAAGAGCCTGTCATATTCAAGTAGTAGATCTGCAGCTTGCTTTTGGAGGGAAGTAACATGAGCTTCAGCAGTCTCAACTCTTTTGTCCTTCTCTTCACATTCCACCTTTGTCTTCTTCAAACTTTCTGAAAGACCAGAAATTTGATCCTTTAGTTGCATTATCTCCTTGGAAGCTTTCTCTTCCTTTTCTTTAAGCTCAACTTTCTCTTTCTCAAGGCTTTCCTGTTCTTCTTTAGAAGCTCCTGCATTACTCCTTAACTTGTTAAGCTTTTGGAGATAATGATGTACGCGATCAATTATGAAGCCAAGGAATAATGTAAAACCTGCAAGATCAAACTAAATCCACTAAGACAAAATAATTTAGCTTCAATGTAGAAACATGTAAGGATTGATAGCAAAAATAGCCTAAAAACAACTCTAATACTATAAAAAATGAAACATACACTGACGCAACAAATCTAAATATATTTGTAGAATCCTAATACCACCAACAAAGTGTTGCAGTGCAAGCATGAATCACTACAGCACCACGGCCTCAACAGACTATACCAACAAACCGCAGGTCAGCATCATAGCTACCACTACTATTAACTCAAATTTACAATATTAGTCAAGACCATTACCATTGCTGATGCTATGATTCCCATAGTCAGTATTCTGCTCCAATTTGCTAATTTATTGATTCATCTCACTTCTTACCTTACGTATACATCTTATTTTATTATCATTACCACTGTCAAAGATATTATTGCTATTGAAGGCTATGCCTACTGCTAGAAAGGAAAGAACATCAAAAAAGTGAAGAGGGAAACAACATTACTATGTGGTCAAGGTGAAGAAAATTGTGGGGAGAACAATAATATGTTTTAAAACTCAATAGTGAAGCAAGTGTTTTAAATTGTCAACCACTTATTTCTTTTCATTGTGCTTTTGTCCACCAAGTTCTCGTCGTAGGGTTCATGTAATCCCACTTGGCGGTCATGTAGAAAAGGGTGGTTAATAATCTGTTTGTACTAATTTAATCATTTCATGGCATACTAAAGAATAATATTAATAGTTGGTTCACAATATGAATCAGTACACATCACAGGAGGAATCGGTATGACAAGATTAATAATCACATTTCAAGAAAGAATAAATTCACATCAATCAAGATATGAACATATAAATATGTTAAATAGGCAGAGTGATCAGAATCAACTACCAAAAACAAAAGTAAAGAAGAAAGATTAACTAACATGAGCTATCAGCCTTTGGCACATATAATGCCTAATTTCCCATGGAATGCCAATGAATTCCAAAATGTAATGAATCCGTACTATGCTGATTCGTTACTCCATAGATTTTGGGCAAAATTCTAATAATAAATAACTAATTAACATTATTTGTTTGAGTTTCCTTACTGAAAATAGAGAACTAAAAATGAGGGAAAGTAGAAGAAAATGAAAGAAAAACTCGGGATATAAGAGAAATTTAACTAAGTACAATATGAGAAATTATATAAATGAAGTCTCATATACAATATATATATATATATATATATATATATATATATATATAGAGAGAGAGAGAGAGAGAGAATATCCAAAGCTTTTAACTGAAGCTGCAACACAGTTCAGATAGTACAACAGAATGTCTGATGTAAGAGACAGTAGCGAAATACAAATGACTGAAAGTATTGTTAAGTATCATAGTAAATATCAAGGTAATAGCAACTGAAACAAACAGATCCTAACATCGGATTATAAACACAACTTCCTACTTTCTCAAACATTCACATTGATTTGAGAATACCAGAGATATGTATATAGCTTTATTTTTTTTAAAAACTGGTATACTAGAGCACCAAAACTACAACAGTCAGAGGCGTTAATCATATGTTTATATAAACAAAAAATTACCATTTCATTCATTAACTTCATACAACATTAGAGAAGGATACGATCAACTGCAAAACAACATGCAGTAGCAAGTTCTTTTAGGCGATCTCTGGACCAGATCAAAAGACCAATTAGAATACCAAGGAATTAATGAGGGAATTCAATAATTAAATTAAATCAATCTAATTCCTTTTGTTAGAAATCTCATATCTACTAGAAATATGGTAAAATTATTATAAATAGAGGCAAATCTTACCATATACACCCGGAAGAAGCACTGTAGCAACACACAACATATTCCTCTTTTGTGTATCAATCTATCATAATGTTAAATCAACTTCAAATAGATTTGACAAGAATAGCCTCCACATTCTCTCTTTTTAAACACCAAGCAACCCATTCCATGAGTCTAAATTCTTAACCAGCATCTTATCAGAAACCTTATTACCCTATGGATATCAATATACCCATTCTAAGCATAACTACACAACATTCCAGTTTACTAGACTAAATCCTTCTCAGGCATTAACACAAACACTTTATGGACTTTGATGAGTTTCACTTCTCAGACTTTCCTGCAAAAAATCTAATTCCAAAACTCACTTTCGGTCCAATGTTTCCTAAAACAGATCCCTCTCAGGATTAAGCATTCTTCTCTACAGTACTTGTCTACCTGATATCATGGCATTGTACATTACGAAGCTTTGACAACTTACACGGCAATGTCAAAGGTCAAGCAGAGTCAAATCAACCAAACCTTATACGGATTAAAGCTCTGCATTGATTCATTTAGGTGGTTCAAGCAGCAGCAACGGAGGAGCAAGTAGCAAGAATAATTTTTGAATTACTACTTGATTGAGCTGAATTTAAAATTCCTAGTTTTTTATGAGAAAACATGGCCCATTAAATCCTTTGGTATTTGCAAATTCCTTGACTGTTAGCATTTATCCAAAAAATATAGTTCACCATATGGAATTTTACATATCAGGAAAAAGTGCATCTTCTAAAATCCTTTATCCAAACACAACCTCAGTACTTGTAAACATGTTTTCCTTGGATGACAAAAAATAACACAAATAAAATTCAGATCTGCAACACATTCAAACACATTTTTTCACAAGGGTTAACTGACATTTTCGCTTAACAATCAAAACAAATTGGTGAGACCAAAAAATGCATCAGAGACCAAACAACAATTAAAATAAAGACTACAGATATTAAGCACCCTTCTTCACCTGAACCCCCAAAGATAAGAAGTGTCCAGCAAAACATTCACAGCAACAACACTTCATTGCAACATTTGCCAGCAAAATTAATATTTCAGTCATAGCCACAGAACAAATACTAACTACATGCCTAGTTATTTAGACAGGAAGAGAGAAAGAGAGAGAGAATGAAGTGACCCAGAAGAAAGGTGTGTGAGCATACCCATGAGTGAAGCCTCCAGCAAGTGGGTCCTCCATAGAACTTGATCCATGGGTGACATGGTACCAAGCTTGGCACCTTTGTTCTGGATCTTAACAATGCTCATAAGGCTTGAGAAGAGAATCACAGACATGGTGCCAGCAATGGTCTTCACTGTAGCAGGACCCTTCCCCATCTTCATCTGATCCACTGTCTTAATAACAAGATCTCTCAACGGCCCAATCTTCACCAACAGAAGAAATGCCATAGCACCCTCCACAAAAAGCACCAAGAACAACAACTGAATCATCCTTTTGTCCCACAAAATAACAGATACCACTTCAACTACAATCACCAAAATCCCTTCCTTTTTCAAGAAAAACTACTGAAAGCTAACCCCACAAACACTTTCATTCTTTTAACAAGCAAAGTATCCAAACTACTAGTCAAATCAATAGAAAAACACTCCTCACACAAACTCATACCGATTTGTCATTTTGTTCAAACTGAAAAATGAACAAAAATCCACATGAATAGGCTACAAAAAAATTAATTAAAATACAAAAATAAATGAGGAAAAATGACAGGTACAGGAAAAGCTTAGAACTTTCCTTTCCAAAACATGAGCATTCCTCCACTGAAGCTGATTAGTGCGAAGCAATCAATACATTTAGCAAAAAGTAAAAAGTGATAAACTATTCTAAAAAAAAGCCCCCGTTAACCCTTATTTTCCAGGTATAAGATTTTTTAGTGGGGTGCATTTGCTTTATTTCACGAAATATAGTTTCAAACGTCCTAAGATAAATTTATTTTATTCTTTATAAAATTCTAATCATTGATTTAATTCTTCAATTCTAAAAAAAAATTGTTATTAATATTTACATTCAATTGTTAACGTATCTATCCAAATAATATATATTAAAAATAGTTACTATACATACTATTAATATATTATATAAATAAGTAATTAACATTATTAACTCTTATAAATACATATAACATTTTCTGTAAGTAATTAGATGATATATTCGTGGTATAATTTCGAAAAACAAAAGAATTAAATTTGTAATTAAAACTATATGAAGATTAAAATTGGACATTTAAGCGATTTATTAAATTGTAATGATTTAATATAATATAATATATAAGGTTGTTGTATGTTGGTCTTCGAGACGTTGCCAAAAGTCAAGAAACGTACATATTTTAGGTTTTTGTCTTGTTCGTAACTTCAACTCGAAGTTCCAACTATTTTATGAGTTTAATTACGGTTTTATACTTACGAAGATAGACATTTTTTCTTATTTATATCTATATGTTTTTTTTTAATTATTCTTTTGATGTCAATTAAAAAAAACAATATTATAATTTAAAAGAAACAATATTTATTATAATTTATATATTTAAAAATAAACTAAAAATGAGAAAAAAATGAATATATTTTAAAAAAAAAGTAAAATAAATTTTTTAAAAAATTAATTATAAAAAAATATGGACACACATTGTAACACCTGAATTTTTTTCTAATATGTATAAAACATTTAATTTTATCATTCATTTAAACTTATATTTGTTGTTTTAAAAATAAAATTAAAAATTATATTTATTATTTATTTAATATTTAATAAAAAATAAAAAATAAATATATTTTTAATCCTTTAATATTTATTTATTCTCCTTGTAAAATTCTTTTTCTAATTCTGAGCCTTTATTTATTTATTTATTTGTATTTATAAGATTTGTATTTCTAATATTTAACAAATATTGAAACCAAATATTTTACACATTACGAAAACAAAAATAAATAATTTTTTGGACTAAAATCAAATAATAAGAATCAACACAATAAAAAAATTACATAATTAAAAATCATGAAAAAAAATTATAATTGAAAACAAAATATAATCATATCTCATAAACCAAAATATATTTAGCGCTGAGGTAAAGTTAACATATTTAAATAGATTCATCATGACCCCATAAAGAAATAATATTTAATGGTCCTTTATAATGTAATTATTTGAAAATATAAATATGAATTTCATAAAAAATAATTATTTAATTTTAAAATTTACATTTTATTATACAAAGAAAATATTAAAATATGTTTTGAATTTTCTTTCAATTTAGCTACATATTTATCATTTAATTTACGTCTAAAAAATTACACGTGCATAAATATCTATATAGAATTTAAATAAACAATAAAATAAAATTATGCACAGATATATAAAACCAAATATCTTCCTAAAATGAAACCAAAGTATACGTATGTAATCTATATATAAATTACGCATACACAAATATCTTCCTCAAAATGAAATTCAAATTATGGGCAAACATGCCCTTTCTTGAATCATGGTTATATGAAACCAAATTATCATAATGCCAACGTAGAAGAAACACCAAATGTGGAATTCAAAGCTTTGTGAGTGAATATGAAAAAAAAAAATTGGTGTGGGAGAATATTCATGATTGTTTTGGACGAGGTGATATTTCCTATTTAATTGCCAAAAGAAATGGAAAATGATTTTTCTCTTTAAAAACTAATCTCTTATAAAATGAAAAGCACATTTGAACATGTCATGATTTTAAATGTATTGTAATTAGTATATGTTATTAGATTAAATTATTTAAGGTTGAGTTGTTAAATCTTTATTAAGTTAGTTGAATGATGAATTTTCTCTACTTGTATTGGTGTTTCTGAGGGACTAATAATAGGGATATTCTCACAAATGAGATCTGAGTTAATCATATAAGAGAATATGACATCATTTTCAATTCAAAGCCTTAAGACATTAGGTTATGACTCTTTCTCATTTATAAGTTACTCAATTTTCCCATTTTTACCTGGTATGGGACTTTAATTCACACTTGAACTCTCAACAATCTCTTTTCAAGTGTGATTCCCTTTCACATTGGTATACTTCCCCCTTGAGCGGAAACATTTCTTAACCATGAGTACTTAGTAATATCCTTACTTGTACCGTCGTTCAATTTAACGGGACTTGCCTTCCTTAAACCATTGTCAGGAAAACTTTCAACATAGACCTTTCACCTACTATAATCATACTTAATTGAGCCAGTCATCGGATAAATCATCGGCTTTAATATCACTATTAACTATCAGACAAAAACATAAGTACACACAACTAAAATAAAAAGATGAGAAAAATACCGACAATAGGCAAAATGATAATTCCATTAATGAAAGAAATTGCAATCCTTCTCTCTCTACCTACAAGAAGGAAACAATAATACCCTTTCTTGAAAATGAAGGAAAAATAACTCTAAGAGAACCTTAAAGGAGAAACATATTTTCTCTCTTAATTTATCTTTCAAGCACTAAAGCAGCAGGAGAAAGAAAAGAAAGTGATTTTAGTGTGTTTTACAAGGTAAATAATTGTGTTCCTTTTATAGTAAGAAAAGTAAGCACCAAAGTAAGATTTGTCTGATGTGTGACTTCTCTTCTCAAATCTCCCACTTGAAAATTTTGATTACATTAATCAAATCTTCACATCATTCTTGCTTTATTCTTGCCATTTATGTTGCTTATTTTTCCACTAGGTCAGAACGACTTGTCAACAATAATCAGCTTTGTCATAACATCTGTTAGGTTCTCATCTATGTAAACCTTTTGCATATCCACACTTCCTTCTTCTACTACTTCCCAAACAAAATGATATTTTATTCCTATGTGCTTTGTCCTAGAATGAAAGGTTGGATTCCTTGCAATGTGCAAGACACTCTGACTGTCACAATACACAACAATTTGTTGTTACTTGTGCCTAAGTTTCTCTATTATCTTCCTAATCCAAATAACTTCCTTACATGCTTGGGTGACTACCATGTACTCAGCTTCTGTGGTAGACAGAGTTATAACATCCTGTAACTTGGATAACCAACTTACTGCCCCTCCTGTAACTGTAAACACATAACCAATAGTAGATCTCCTTTTATCCAGACCACTTGCAAAATCTGAATTAATATAGCCTTTGACAATTAGTTCTGATCCTCCATAACATAATACAACACCTGAGGTTCCTTTGATGTATCTAAGGATCCTCTTTATAGCACTCAAATGCTCTCCACCAGGATTTTTCATAAATCTACTAACTAATCTCACTACTTATGCAATGTCTGGTCTTGTACAAATCATGACATACATAAGACTTCCCACTACTGATGCATACGGTACTCGAGACATTTTCATCCTCTCTGCTTCATTGCTAGGACTCATACTTGAGGATAACTTACAATTGATAGGAAGTGGGATGGAAATTAGCTTGCAATCTTGCATGTTGAAGCGCCACAAGATTTTCAGTAAGTAATTCTTCTGAGAAAGCTAAATCTTCTTATCTTTTCTGTCTTTGTGAATTTGCATCCCTAAAATCTTGTTTGTTGGTCCCAAGTCCTTCATGTCAAATCCCTTTTCAATTGTGCTTACTACCAATATGTCATTCACATACAATAACAAAATAACAAAATCATTATCACCAAACCTATTATAATATGTACAATGGTCTGAGCTTAGTCTATTTTAACCAAGACAAATAATGAATGAATCAAATCTCTTATACCAACATTTGGGCATCTGCTTTAGACTCTATAGAGATTTAGTCAACTTGCAAACTAAGTTTTCTTGTTCTTTAAATCCTTCTAGTTGGAGCATATAAATTTCCTCTTCAAGATCTCCATGAAGGAAAACAGTTTTTACACCCAATTGTTCAAGATGTAAACAAATATAACACACATTGCCATGACAACTCTGATGGACATCAATCTGACAACCGACAAGAATATCTCATTGAAATCAATACCTTTTTCCTGAGCATATCTCTTTACTACCAATCTAGCACGATATCATTCTACTTGATCATTGTCATCTCTCTTAATCTTATAGACCCATTTACAACCAATGATTTTTTGACCTTTTGGAAGTTCCACAAGATTCCATGTCTTGTTTTTATGAAGAGCCTCAATTTCTTCTTGCATTGTAGTCATGCACAGAGAAACATCTGAACAACTCATAGTCTCTTAAAAAGTTGAAGGTTCTCCTTCATTTAGAAGACAATACATATCATGACTTGTCATCACATATTGTGAATGCCAAGATGGTCTGACTTTTTCTCGTGTTAACCGTCGAAGATCTCCATTACGAACCTCATTTAGCTCTTAATCTTCGTGCTTCTCTTCTAATTCAGACAAGTCATCTGAAGACTTCTTATCTACCTGTATTATAATCTTGTCCTTTATCAAACTGTCATTTACCTGCTCACTTTGTAGTTTATTTTCTACAAAGACTACATTTAT